GAGAATGATCGAACAGTAGTGGTGCTCCAACCTGCGGTTGGGCTGGAGGCAGCTCATTAGCGCCCTTCTGATTACGGGCCAGTTTGAAGACGTTTGATTTATAACACCTATTCTGCACGTTGCTTTTGCACTTTAGTGTCAATTCGGAACTTACAAATCACAGTAGCAAGGTGAAATCGAACGAGATCGTTGTACCTAGCATCAGGATAACGGTCAACTATGATTGGTGGAAGATATGTCCAAATCCACCACGTTTACTAATCATAGTCTAATACTTTGTTCGTTTCCTCACTTTCTTTCGGGTATAGCGACCCCAGGTAGGTGAACCTGTGTAACCGCATCTGTAGCTTGATCCTGGCGATCAACCACGCGACAGGCTGGAAACGCCATATTCACTAATCATTGATGTCTGAGTATGGAATCCAAGTAGATATTCATCGCTCAGACACGCACGGATGAGTGCTGAGTAATGCCACATACAGTGAATATATAACCGCAGGTGCGTCCACCTGAACGCTCTGTACCCTCATGGAATAAGGGACGGAAGGCGAAAAGAATAGGGCAGTTCTCAATTCATCAGCATGCTAAACCCGTGACACACAGTTGTCAGCTGTATTATGCTGAACCAGTCGCTTCCAGCACCGTTAGCGCCCTGAAATGTGTGGAATCGTGGTGCGGATCTTCAACAGATGAACGACGAAATACATTTGAATAGGACACAGCAGGATACATTAAATCACAACTCAAAACACTACGGTGTAGTATATTGTAGTGTATGTAACTACATCCGGGGTAGCAGTGAGAAGCAATTTTCTTGCGGGACTTGCTTTGAACTTGCACCAATTCGTGCAAAAATTAGACGGAAATCCATACAATTTGAGGTTTGTGTCCCTTTCATATACGCCTTTTGTACATGCAGTACCGCGTTTTGTAGTAATTCCTGGCTGGTAGTTTCGCGCGCCACTCAATTGAAAATCCCAACATACGTTACGCATTCTACAATCTCAGTAGTCAATCCAGAATGCAGGCAATTTCTGAAAGAAAAACCGTGAAAAACGAAGATGAAATAATTATGTCCCTAGGCAAAACCCCACTTCTCACATTGGTTGATTTAAATGCGGTGAAGACAATGATTACTGAACTTCTGGACGACCAGGGAACAATAAAAGTAACTCTTGGGAAAGAAGGAATATGCGGCCTACTAGATTTCCGTTTGACAGCCTACTCGGAGTTCAGTGGAGAATGTTATGAACAACGGAACGAGAGCAAATGAGATCAACAATCTCTAAATTCATCGCGGAAATTACAGTGCACAAACTGGAATGGATGCGATACCAGACACAAAACCTAAAATATGGTTACGATTTGTGGAGGACATATTCACCAATGTAAAGAAAAATGAACCATCCTAAGCGGATCAGCATGACTCCCGATATCCATTTCACAATAAAACGGAATGGGACAACAGATTGGCGTTCCTAGGTGTGCTCGTTACAAGCACAACAGACAGTCAGCAACCATCCGCACTGTCACAAACGAAGCTCTGTGTGGACTCTATTCAAGCTGGTAGAGAAGCACTGCAACACAAAAGAGCCAAGAGGAAAGAATGAAGAAAACTTCATCAGACACCCCAAAATAATGGCTACCCACGGAACATCATATAAAGATGCTAAAAAATCAGTGCCAAGCTAGCGAAATGCACTCATTTGCAAACAACTTTGGTTTTGTGAGATACACCTGGAACCCAGTTAATCCCTCGTCTGTGATGCTTCCAGGCAACCGAATGTGCTGCACCAAGCCGCGTCATATTTCAGCTGCTACAATATTCGAGATATCACGACACATGTATATTCGTAATGCACTACTCATAAGGTTGCTGCAAATTCTTCGACAGTTTAAGTAGAACATAAGGTTGACGGAAACTCGGGGACTGTTCGTTAGCTGTGAGCCCCCCAAAAAGGCGGAACCACTCGTAGGCTGTCGAAGAATTTTCAGCGTCAAGCTACTTTGCCAACACAACCAGAACAGAGAAAGATTACACTTCTGTATATCAAAAACATCGTGAAAATGACTTCAGGAAATTTACGGTAACATGAAATAACAGTCACCTTCAACCCTATAAATACGCTGAGAAGAGAATAAATAGAAAGTTGGATGCAGTTACGAAGACGAGCATGATCCACAAACTTCAGTGCCGGGAACCTTATTTTGCCCAGACTGGACGAAAACTTGCCACCATTATATACAGACACAAGCTTACTTCAGAAAACAATCCAGTGTCATTTGTTTCAATCCACACAGACAGGGAATGACATCATTTGGATTGGAATACTTCTCAACTACTTCCTCTTGCAAGGGTGAAACTAGAGAGGATGTTTGTCAACACGTGCTACTTCACACAAAAAAATGAGCAATAAACACATCGAGATCGACACAGTCTATCGGTCACTACGGGCAAAAGAACTACGCAGTCACGGTACTCTGAACCACATTGGAGGATCAAACAACATGACGACAAACAGCGAAATAACCGGATCAAAGTAGCATAATTACTAAAAATAGAAGGTAACTGAGTCATCGTACCAAGTGAAACAAAATTATTTCTCAAAACAGAAGAAGTTGCCTCCAATGGTGACCCAACTTCCTCAAATCATCGGCCGATGAAGCTGTGACAGCTATAATCACAGTAAAGCAAGTATGAGGTTTTCGCTGCTGATATTGATGATGATGATAATAATGATAGTGATGATGACGTAAGACCTAGATCGATCCCATAGCGTTCTGTTTTGTTGTTTCTTGGTCCGGTAGGACAAGGCAATACCGACAACATAACCCCATGTTTTTGGTAAGCGATCGAGCAGAGCTGGAACCAGCTTCTTGAGCACTTCCTTCGTTAACCTGCCGTACTGATCTAACGGCTGCGGCATGGATTCCATATCTCCTCAGTTTGATTGCAATCAAGGCGATGCATCTTGCATGACTATTCCTTTGACTATCAGCTTAATTCATCCGTATCCCGACGCCCAGCAAACCAACAATTATTGGTCACCTCGGGCTATCTGATCGCCTCCAATATACCTGCAAAGAAGAGAGTGGAATTAAAGCAGGCTGTAATACCACCGCTCAGATTTCCGGTCTGCCTGACCTCAAGAGACCGCCACACAGCCTTGTGGTCTTCATTCGCATGATTGATATAATTATTTTTTAACCACATTTGATTAACCCGGCTTTGGCTTCAAGCAGCCACACACTATGGTGGGAATGCACCTTAGGCTTTCCTTTAAGCATCCCCACTCCATCTCAATCGAAGGACATTGTGCACACTTATTAACTAGTGGACATGCCTGTTTCAGCTGAGGGTCATCTCGCAGTTGCTATTGATCCCTGTGCGCCACCAGAACAAACATTACTTCGGCATCTAGGCCAGCAACTAATCAAGTGCATATAGTGGCCATAGTGACATGATGCCAGAGGGCCAGCTAACAGCATATTCCTGAAACGAAATTGACTGATAAAGTAATGATGGATGTCACCGACTTTTCTGATGGGAAAACAAAGTTGAGCCTGGCGTTGGCTCGATCTGTCCGTATAAGGGGCATTATAAGTGGTCTTAGAATTGGAATAGTTAGGTGGCGAGGTTAAGTAGTCTGCTTTACAGAAGGCAGTGCCTCTACCGTCCAACACAGTTTGGCAGAACTTAGTCGCTTGGGTAGCCCCGGAGGTACAACTGACTGAGGATGTCCAAGTTTCATGCTTGGATGCGTTCCAGCTAGTCTACTTATTTCGCTATCTAGAACATTCTGTCGGATGTAGGAACCTGACCAAGACATGGCTAATGAGAAAGAAAACTGAGGCCACAAGCGGCCATTCCAAATCAGGAGTATCAGTAGCTAAACATGTGGGTGCTCCATAGACTTGCGCTCTGTATAAATGAAATATCTCCTAATGGTAAAACCCGCTAACCAGGGTCTATTAGTGGATGGTACAACCTGATATGCCATGCGAAACTAAGGTAGCAATGAAGCCTTTTGCCCGGATTAGCACATACATACATACATACATACATACAAACATACATACATACATACATACATACATACATACATACATACATACATACATACATACATACATACATACATACATACATTACATAATACATACAAACATACATACATACATACATACATACAAACATACATACATACATACATACATACAAACATACATACATACATACATACATACAAACATACATACATACATACATACATACAAACATACATACATACATACATACATACAAACATACATACATACATACATACATACAAACATACATACATACATACATACATACAAACATACATACATACATACATACATACAAACATACATACATACATACATACATACAAACATACATACATACATACATACATACAAACATACATACATACATACATACATACAAACATACATACATACATACATACATACAAACATACATACATACATACATACATACAAACATACATACATACATACATACATACAAACATACATACATACATACATACATACAAACATACATACATACATACATACATACAAACATACATACATACATACATACATACAAACATACATACATACATACATACATACAAACATACATACATACATACATACATACAAACATTTATGCTACTGGCAAATCTCTCCCTTACGCTATACCATATTTTATAAACCTGCGGGGCCTTCGCAGCCAACATGTGGAGGCCGCCTTACCATGTTCGGGTCTAGCGTAGAGCTCAAGCGTTGAGATGGGATTCGTTGACTGTATTAGCCAGTTTTCTGATCACATTCTCATTCGAGTACCAGCTGACTGGCCTCCGTGCACTTTAACCCAATTGGGCGATGGAGCATCGATATGCAGACAGCTTAAATGATGAGCACGTGACAAACAATCAATGTTATCGAGTTTGCAAATAACCATGCAGCATACGTGAAGAGTTAATACTCCCCCTTATGTGACGGGGTGAACTACAAACGATCGACGATGGGACAACGAAATTCGTCAGCTAGGTTAGAAGTAACCACACCACAATCTGTGCTGCCAGTACGTCGGGAAATCGTCGAAATTGTCTACGACGACGTCGCTGATAGTGAGGGATTCAGGGTAAACGCCACTTCTGGATCATGTGATGTACAGACATACGCTAACGTTTCTAATAATAATCTACACTACCCTTTGAATAGACTGATTGAAACAGATAAATGGAATTTGGGACAAACTTCTAATTCGGAAATTCATCTACACTCATCAAACGGCTGTTCGGTCAAGCCTTTGGAAGAAGCTTCACAACCCACGCCATATGATGTACCGTACAAAACGGACATAAAAAAAGCGTCAGCTGAAATTTCACACAAAGCGGAAGTCGATCGAGTCATAAAAGAGTTGCAAAATACCCATTTGGAGAATGAGCCTTCCAAACCCGAAATATACGAAAAATGCGTTCCGGGAAATACCTACAATCATTTTACTAGGGTGGATAGTGAATCCAGTCTGTTGTCACAAGATAGTGGCAAACCTTTTTCGAAAGACGAAGTTCCCCCAAATACTGGTAGGCATAAAAGTATTTGGCGTCGACTGAAGTTCCATTCCAAGTATTCATCCACCGATAGCATGTGTTCCCAGTTTAACAATACTTTTAGCCAGAACATGAGTGCAATCAAGTCAATTCCAAACAAAATCAACTCGAATCCACCGATGGATTTCCACCCTAACCCTCCTCCCCCTCCTGACGAATGCAGCCTAGAAAAAGCGAATAGTCCTCGACTCGTAGCTGATTTTACACACGATTTAAAACCGACATTGAATGCAGGAGATATGGGACAATTTGAAACTGGTTCAATGAACCTTCATTTTAAACGACAAACCGAAGCATTCACATCTGGTCTGCTCGGAAGAAATAGATCCATGGATTTTGCTACGTCTCATTTGTTCAGTCAACGGACAATAGGTTCACATCGACTTCTGCATAGGGATTGGCGAAATGATTCACGCTTTAACCACGGGTTCGAGCCGGAATGGCACGTCAATAGAAACAACCACAAATGTTCCCTCTCTATTAGATCTTCTACTCCTTCAATCGGCCCCCCAACTCCATCTGGCCTAACAGTAATCACTTTGGATAGGAGTTTCAAACAGAAGGATACATCAAATCCTTTAATAGACACACTTCAGTGGAGCGAGAGAATGTCTACTTTCCCTCCGGCGACGGAAGCGATTCCGGACTGTTTGCAGCTGATGAATTACCAGGATTATATCAAAGTAAAGAGAAGGTAGGTAACAGGCCAAGAACTTTGTTTTGTATATCAAAGCCTGTTTACCAATATTAACTAAGATTTCCACCTATAAATTTGAGGCTACCGTTCATATGTAGACAGACTATTGCTATGTCGAGAGTTATCTCATCGTCATTGTTGACAGCAAGATCAGTGAAGGACACTAGTGTTTCATTGTCGTACAACCGTCACTTTATCTGATTAAAACCCTACAAGGCTTCGAACAAAGATAGGCAATGGAAGAAGACCTAGGGCTTGCCTATCATAGATATCCAAGGTTCCTATCCACCTCCCTCCCCGAACACCCATTCAGAGAGTCGGAATAGAAACCGATAGTACGCACATCAGTGGTGGGCTAAATGCTTTCTCAGTTCCTCCAACCAAGCACAGAGCAAGTCGCATGGAAGATAAGCAATACCATTGATTCTTTTCGACCATTTTCTTTTCGACAGTTGTCGCATTTCTCCCCAAAGTCGATCTACCTTTGTCTTGTCAATTGGCCATGTAAACAACACTGAAAAGGCAGTTAGGTTGCTGTTTATCATCGCTGTATTTCTGTCAATGATGATGACAATGAAGAAACAAAAGATTTCACAGTTTCACAATGCCCCGCGACTCGTATCGGCATATCAAAATTTACGCGGTCACTTCTACCACCGTCTACAAGGTATTGAACTTATGAGTCTCCAGAAAATTCTAAAACACATTTTTTCAGTGTTCTCTTTCACAGCGGATGCAAATAACCATTCCGTTCAACCTCCATGAGAGTAAAGCGGTTACGTGCAATAAGCATTCTAGTTTTTACCATCGTATCCTGCATTGTAACTAATGGCCGATAGAAAACAGGATATCTAAAGGTAATTTGCCTCTGACAGTGTAAAACGAATGTACCAATCCAAGTTTTTCATGCACCTGTCAAATTGGCTAGGGTCGGATGATTAGACCAATCCCGGTTAAATCCACTTGTTTCCACTGATTACTGAAAATTTCTGAAGACGTTCATCTTGTGTGTACATGTCTAGTCCTCTGTTGATGTTGGTTAACAATACTCGAATATCAGTTAACCTATTTACAAGATAATCAGACTATTTATGCTCCAACGAGAATGGTTGCGTAGATGACTGCATACGAAATAATCAAATAATTGCGCGAATAAGAAAATCGATACATCCTTGGTTCGGTAGCGTCTCTACTGCCTCCAATTCATGCAAATGATTCAGTGTAGACTTCGATAGGGCTTGCTATGAGTTCGCGGCTGATGTGAATTTATTTGGCAACTTCCAGCGCAATCTCAAGAAACTGGGCCTGAATTGTTGCTGTACAACTCTTGCTGAGTGTCTTCGGAAATTGACACCTTATTATGGCCATCGGCCTTCCTGTTGCAAAGGCGCCCTACCTCAGGAAGCTCAGGATTCCAGTCACTGTAGCACTTGGCATCAGCTCAAGATAACCGCACGCTTCGTAAGTTGAAACGTGCAATTGCCACGCGAATGCCCCAAGTGCTCATGTCCCTCTACAAGCTATGTGTTCGGTCTTAACTTGAATATTTTGTGCAGGCATGATGCACTAATTGGACAGAAAACATCAATGAATATTAGTTTACCAGATGGCTTGGTTAGAGTGGTGGAGGCTAGGAGAAGGTGAGTATGTCGTCAAAACCAAGTTGGTATGCAAATGAGCGTATTTTGCTACACATACCTCCTTTCCCTCTAGAGTTGGTAAAAAATTAAGTAGCCACCAAAAGTGTTAGCCCCAACGTCTTCAGTGAAGGCTTTTCAACTTGGACTCCGTTCGGAGTAGTTTTTGCCTGGATTACTTCGGACGATTCTGGTTAGCTTCCGACAAAAAGGTCTTGAAGTCTGTTCACAGGTTTGTGAGAACTGTCCAGGGCCGTCTTCTGAAATGATGTTTATTCCTTTCCGTAATTCTGGCGTTTATCTGCGTGCGGAAATCAAGCTCATGCCTCAGTTTCTTTTTCTGCAACAGATATGACTAATATTCAAATATCTGATGTTGCCGCCAGCAGCAGGAAAGTCGTAGGGGTGATTCGTCACGCTCACTCCTCCGCCGATATTTCAACATCAGTTCCAAGGTACTGGTGAGTAGTATGGAGGCTAACAAAGTAAAAGTCGCTTCGACTTGCAGTCGGGATGTCCGATCAGGATACAGGAGCATATTCATCCTAAATGAACCACCAGCCAACCTGCAGTCAGTCGAACTGATGATATACTGTGGAGCAGAACGCTCGTGACTTATTCGTGTCATGGCCTCTGTTCCATGCAAAATACTTTGTTGAAAGTACACTTCCTATGAATTTTAGATTCGAAATAACTTTAAAATGTCGAAATCACTTCCGATGCCAAATCACGTCCGATGAGTGTTTTTTAAATCTTTGTAGATTAAAAAATTGAGGAACTTCGGGGGGAGCATAAGTTATCCAAAGCAATAAAGCAATTTTTTTTCATTTTGCCTTCATTAGAACTCACGCTAGTCACTTTCTACCGGAAAAATGGAATTCTGGACTAAACTTTTACGTGGCTTTTCCGACAGGACAACTTTGACTCGCGCAAGAATTACAGGTTCGGTAAAAAATAACTCTTAATGATTCGTGCTTATCTGGAAATTCTTCGTGCCCTAGTATGAACCCTCATTTCATGCTAACAGTTGGAATTCATCTGAATTAGACCACTGTGTGACATACAGCTCCAAAGCAGAAACATGAACGACTGAACACATCGCACTTGGACAGTCTCTACTCAACTTTGAAAGCTAATAAAGCCGATGATTATTTCGACCGTATCTGTCAGTATCTCGAAACAAACAGTGTATCGTTCAAAATTATTCCAAGAAAAGAAAAGAAACCACCCTCTATAAGGTACCACAAACCTGTAAGCTTTTCCTCTCAACTAGGTACAGTTTTAGAGGTTGTTCTCCACTTAGAAAATTCTACTCATGGATACCAAACCTATGTATCATGAGGCACTTTTAGAGGTGTTCAGTGCTGTAACATCTTGCATGGGTAGTTCACAGAAATGAAAACGTTCGCTCCATAGATGAACTTATCACACTGCATAGGTTGCGCTGGCTTGGCCACGTACTGCGTATACCAGTCGACCAATTTCTTCAAACGGCTCTTTACGCACAATCACGTGAAGGGTGGAACAGAGCCATAAGCGGTCAAATAACGACTTGGCAGTGAAGTATAAAAACCATTACCAGCAAACTCAGCTGCGCTGGTCATTGCTGTTTTCCTGGAGGGGGACCCCTGGACGGGCCACATCAATGGTTAGTGACATTGCCAGACATGGTCTAGTCGCGCCCTCAATGGCGCTTGTGCATTCAAGCTGTTGCCTTCAATGCACAGTTCCCTTTCCCATTCCACCACTTGGCAGTCCACCTACAGTGCTGTATAACGGCTCTTTACGCACAATCACGTGAAGGGTGGAACAGAGCCATAAGCGGTCAAATAACGACTTGGCAGTGAAGTATAAAAACCATTACCAGCAAACTCAGCTGCGCTGGTCATTGCTGTTTTCCTGGAGGGGGACCCCTGGACGGGCCACATCAATGGTTAGTGACATTGCCAGACATGGTCTAGTCGCGCCCTCAATGGCGCTTGTGCATTCAAGCTGTTGCCTTCAATGCACAGTTCCCTTTCCCATTCCACCACTTGGCAGTCCACCTACAGTGCTGTATTTACGCACTAATTTATCAGTTCCCGCCTCCAATGCGCAGCTACTTAACCCACCTCTCCGAATCATCAATGAACGAAATTGCGGCAGCTACAACCACTGTACGACAAGTACCTGTTTATTACAGCTAACAGTAACGATGATGGTGATAATAATAATAATAATAATAATAATTAGGTAGGAGCCGTTATACATTCCGCTTCATCAAGCTTGCTCCCGTCAATTAACGACTCTGCTATGGGATTTTCACCAGTGATAGAAGGCCTGGATCCAGAAGCATTGGTGACAGGGTTTCGGTGCAGCACACCCTTAGACTATGCCACTATTTACACCAAACTATTTGGTTGTATGATTGAACTAAGGCTAAGCTGGTAATTAGCATCAACATCAGAACCTCACTGAAATCAGCATCTCTCACGTGTTAGACCCAACCATTATGCCATCACTGGTGGATCTACACAGCAATACTTGCGGCTATCGCACATAGCGTTCTATTAACTTCTTCAACTATCCATATTTGAAGTTGATGTTCGTATCTACGTCTGGACGAATTCTGATCATATAAAAGCACACCAATTCATTTAAGCCACAAATGTAGCTAATCAATCGACATATGCTTGTCAAAATACCACACAAGGATATTTTACTGCCTGATCGTCTTTTGGTATCCTTTGACACCCCTTGCCGGAGACTACCGGAGAAAATAACGCGAATTCCCCTTCTCCCTGTAAGCTCATTTATCAGGTACTGTGAAATCTGGAGACATAAGAAAATGTACTCAGTAAAGCTCGCTAAACTTTAGGTGAAGAAATCGTAACTGATAATTATCAAATCTCTATCCGGCATCAATCGATTAGTAGCTCATGTTTGAACAGTGTCGCAAAATAATAAAACTTTTATGTGAGAAGTAGTCTGTCGACCAGATGGTCATTACGTACCCACATGATGTGGTTCCCGTGATTGGAAGATGAGTGGAACTATGCCCCGCCTGAGTGAGAAACAGTCAAACTACTTGGTGAGCCGCCCTGGTTTAGTCCCCAACTACTGGCAGGAAGGTCGCAGGTCTGAAACTGATTTTCCTGAGACGAACGGCGCTGATGCAACCGTCATGGCTACTGCAAATCGACCATCCTAACGAGTTCCAATGAAATTAAAAAGGACCTGAACTTATCAGCCAAGCTTACTGAGTATGTACTGGGATACACTTGGAAGGCTCTGACTACGCGCTGACAGAGGTACACTTTGGATATCCTTACACTTGGATAATGCTTCGGGTGAGAACATACGAAGCAGTGGTTACGAATG